CCATCGCTCTTAGGTTGGAGGCCATCGCTCTTAGGTTGGAGGCCATCACTCTGAGGTTGGAGGCCATCGCCCTTAGGTTGGAGGCCATCGCTCTTAGGTTGGAGGCCATTGCTATTAGGTTGCGTCTCCTTGTGCTTCCTTCATCCTCAAGTGACCCGCTTTTGTGCTTTGTAGAGGCGCTGCTCATGAGACCTCACCGTTGAAATCTCTATCAGGCACGGGATGGCATGGGCCACCAGATTGTTTTGTCACGAAAGCTTGTGAATCTGAGGATGTTCACATTGCAGTTTCTGGTTCAAGCTGACTTGGCTGAGCCTCATTCCATGCTTTTTGTCTGATTCGAGGCCTGCCACGAATTAAACCTGTGAAGAATACGCTCTGAGTCTGTAGAGACTCATGTGTACTTTCCTGAGACTGGCCATTTGGCTGCAGGATGGCAAGGCGCACGCTGGGACTTCCTGACAGGCTGGAGAATTGTTTTAATTCAGTTTGTCAGTGGGAAGATTTGGCAGATTAGCAGAATCCAGACAAGGAAGGAACCTCCAGCCCCGTTTGGCGCCCACATTGACAACCCAGAGGCAACGACTGATTGGAACATTTGATTCAATGTTTATCGTTTTTTTTCGGAATGCATTGAAACTAACGATTGGGTGGACGACATTGCAGAAGATCACCTGAGGAGCTTGTCAAGCGTTTGCTCAGTGCTCAGCGACTTTGCAGGTTTTCACTTGTGATCGTCTCACACTTGTCGTGCATTCTACAGGTCCAAGAAATGGAACGGCACACAAGTGATAGAGTCCCTGAAGTACAAATTGAAGGACAGGCAGATGCAAGAAAGCAGAGAAGCGCTGGTTGTAGAAACATTGTATGAGAGCAGTCCTTTGATTGAGGAGTATGAATCCAGATATGGGGTATTCGACGAAAATAAGAACAGACATGGTGCGGCTTGGTGGCAGGAACGTCAAAGACTAGCTGAGTGTGTGGGCAAAGGTGGTTTTGAACAGCAGAATATGGAATGCATTGCTCAAATGCAATCAACTTGTTGTGGGGATTTCACCGGATGTACTTGCTCTTTGGTGCTTTCAGCTACATGTGTTGAAAGTGTTTGTTTTCCTTCGGAGCTTAGATCCACAACAAGCTGTTAAGCTTGGCGGGGTTTAACCTAAGGACAAGGAGCTTGCGATTCTGCAGAAGGCTGGAGAATGCATCATGAGAATCATTCATAACGCGTGCATTCTGCGTGGCAACTAGACCTTTTAGATCCTTTTAGATCTTTTAGTACTTTTAGCATCACCGGCAACTTGCAACTAGGTCGTCGAAGATGGTGAAGTTGCGGAGAGCATGCAGCCATCTGAGCAGGCAACAGTCAACATTCTGCAGCAAGCCTGGCATGGTTGCCACACCTTCGTTTGCTTTCTTCCATCATAATGGGATGCAGCATATATGTGCATTCTGTGAGACTGGAATCCTGCGATATCCATATCAGGCATGGCTTTCGAGACTACATTGACTTTGCCCTAGATGAGGCCAACCCCCACGCTCCGAACTGCAAGGATATACTGTGCTGCACAAGACCATTTGCTGGTTTTGATAGCAACTTTTCAACTGTTTGTGATAGCTCCAATTCATGAAGTGCTGTGGTGCTTTTTGCTCGGCACTCCTCACCCAGGCTGTAGGAGCAGCTAGTTACTAGTTAGTTAGTTGCTCCCTTTGCCATGGCACGGTACCTCGTTCCACTTTTGTTTAGCGGGGCCTTCTCCAGAGATTGTAAGCATGGTATCTATAAACCAGACACAAAGTCTTGTGACTGCGACGAGCATTGGGCAACCGCTGGCATTACCGACACTGTTGATTTTCTGGAGGGAGTTTGCGAGCAATATCAATGTATAGATGATGCCACCTGCAAGGAGATTTTGAATTTAGATGACTTTGATGTCAGCTGTCCTATACCAAAGTGGAACTGCTACTGCGGCTGGAAGTACGCATTCAAGAATTCCTTTCATGGATATGAGGTGAGCAAATCTGTGAATTCAACCGGTGCCGAATGCATGGGTGCGATGTACACTTTTTCAGTTTGGTCGACTCTTACTGTTTGGTGGCTCATGAAGCAAACTCTCTGGATGGTTTTGATTTTGACTTTAGTTTGCATTCCAATTGGGAAAAAGCGTATTCGCTGTGATCATCATGACCCTTGCTTGTCGAGCGAGCTCAGACGGCTTTGCGGACATCCGCCGAGTTGCCCCGGAGGATGCTCAGTTCAAGACGAATATGGCTGGGACAACTTGATGGATGATTTTGCATGGAGCTCCTATGTGGTTTCGGTTGGCAGTTGGGTCTTAGCCTTTCTCTCCATACTCTATGTCATGGCTTTATTTGTTTGGTCAATTGTGCTTTGGGCAATGGTGTTGGTACTCCTTGTTGTTGCAGCTGTAGCAGGATTATGTATGCTTTGCGAAGGTGGCGCAGGTCACTGTGATTGCAACTGCAGTTGTAACTGCGACTGCTGTGGCTGTGACCCCGGAGTGGGACTTCACGAGGATGCAAATTTGGTTGATGTGATGTACTGGGGTGGTCCGCATCCAATTGATGGGTGGTACTATTGTGATTGCAGTGGACTCGCTGGGACACCGGAAGATTCATGTTGTGGTTGCAGTTGCCGCGGCTGTTGCTTCCCGATTGCTTGGCTAATCCTCAGATTTCCGCGCATGCCGGAAAATATGTGGGGTGGTGGGTTAGGATATGTACTTGGAACTCACTCCAGGTCACAGAGACGTTGCCAAGGTTGTGACCCACTTATTGATTGTTTGGGCATGCTGTGGATCAGATCAAGTGATTTGCACGAAAATGATGACTGGAGAAGGAATGTGCATGATTTTCTATATGATAGCAGGTACACGGCAGAGCTGCCGTATCATGACATTGTGGAAAGCAGGGGAAGTGACCAGTTCCACGTAGGTTATGCCTCTGGAGAATTCATCAATCGGAGCTTCGATGACAGCGATGGCTGCGTGCCCTCTAGTTTTGAGGACTACATGAATAACAAATGCTGGATTTGCCAAACTGGGAATATCGAATGGGATCTTTGGGTGGTTTGCCGGCATATGTTCTGCAAAAGGTGTTCCGAAGAAATGCTTCGGAGACGGATGCCTTGCCCGTTGTGCCGAGTCTTTTCTACCAGAATCTTACGAGGAAATGCTTTGGACGTCTAATTGAACACATCACTTGTGTTTCACCGGGTCAAAGACACCTGAAAGTCCTGACCAAGACAGACGGACTCAAATGTGGGGGTCCTGGCTGCTAAGCAGCTTGTTTCACTTCAACCTCGTCGAATTCCGGACGAGAACACCACCATGAAAAATCAACTGCTGCATTCGTTGAATATGCAGTGGACTGTTGCATTGTCAAGTAATCAAGTGAAGTGAATACTTGTGATTGTAGCCTGGGATCAAGTTGCCAAGAAACCCCTTTTGGCCTTGTTCACACACGCCGGTTCCTCAGGGCAGGGTTTACGGCTAGCTGACGGCCTTTTTAGCACCCAAGGTTTGATGATGGCATGCTTCCTGGTCTTTCTACTTCTCCAGCAACTATGCTTCGGGGCTTCCCAGTCTCTTGCCGACGCGCTTCAGCAAGACGACCATTGTGAGGACTAGCCCACTCAGCAACTCTTCACAGCCTTTACTCATTTGAGAAAGAGTCTCTGAAGGAGTTTCAATAGGCCCCTTCGTGCAGGATGAAACATGCTCTTTGGTTCTGCTGCAGCAAGTCATGGACTGAGTTGGTGGCCTGCCAATCTCTAGCAATGAAGTCAAACTCAAAAGTGGTCCTTGACAGGGAAATTTGCGTGGCAACACAACAGAAAGTGCCAATGGTCGTGGCCTCATTGCTCCTCCTAGCCTCGTCTTTCTATTAGGTTGGAGGCCATCGCTAGTAGGTTGGAGGCCATCGCTAGTAGGTTGGAGGCCTTCGCTATTAGGTTGGAGGCCATCGCTAGTAGGTTGGAGGCCATCGCTCTTGGGTTGGAGGCCATCGCTCTTCGGTTGGAGGCCATCGCTATTAGGTTGCAGGCCATCGCTATTAGGTTGGAGGCCATCGCTAGTAGCTTGGAGGCCATTGCTATCAGGTTGGAGGCCATCGCTAGTAGCTTGGAGGCCATTGCTAGTAGCTTGGAGGCCACCGCTGGTAGCTTGGAGGCCATTGCTATTAGGTTGGAGGCCATTGCTAGTAGCTTGGAGGCCATTGCTATTAGGTTGGAGGCCATCGCTAGTAGCTTGGAGGCCATTGCTAGTAGCTTGGAGGCCATCGCTGGTAGCTTGGAGGCCATTGCTA